TAGAAGAAGGAATAATTATGGGAGAAAAAAAAGCAAAGCTTATATTCCTAGAATAACATTAAATTCTGGCACCTTATTATTATTACCTTTTGTCTTTTATGGAAAGCAGTTTCCCTTTGTATTAGCATGTTTTATATTTATCATCAAATTAGAAGAATAGAGTTTTAATTCTTTAGGATTATGCATTAAAAAACCTTTATTCTCTTACGGACAATTATACGTTGCTTTATTAAGTTGTAAGAATCCAACAAAAAATTTTATTTAAATTGCATCCGAGAATGAATCGGAAGTTAAAAATATTGTTTAGCTAGGAATTTTTAGTTATTCAAAAATATGTAACTTTGAAGATCGTCACATTCAAGCAGACGTATGTTAATTCATAAAAACATGAAAAACAAATATGTGAAAAATGTGGAAAGGGTTGTAAAAAAAGAAATGGGTTAAAATGACACATGAAATGTCACAACATTAAGCTAACAAAATAAATTATTGTTTAAAGAGCTTCATTGGGTTTGTCTATTTAATTATACCTCCTCCTGAATTCTGTCTTTTTGTTAATAAGGTCCTCAGGTAAACAAGAATTTTATATTTGGGTAAAGTAGACATGGACCAGAAAGAGATTTGAAATGTAAAAGTTCAATCAAGTTAAATAAATAATGGTACTTCAGAGACATATAGTGAGTAAGGGGAAGCGAATGTACAGAGGAAGACCTATGATCAGTGACTTAAGAAACCCTAAAAACGAGGTATGACTTGGGTACTGAATTGCGTATATTTTTTAGTATGTATGATGGTAAAATATTTAGTAAATAAGTATTTTATGGGGGGAGGTGGAGGGGGAGCTGGGGGGAGCAGGGAGGCTGAGACTTACTTTCATCAATACAACTATATAATATAGGGAGGAAATGACGTTAAAACGAGCAAATAACTACGTAAATCAAGGGGGAGCTAAGGAGGAGCGGGAGGGCTGAGACTGTTTTTCGTCAATACAACTATGTAATATATATATAAAACTACAGACATAGCAAATGACACACTATACCCAATTCATATATTCATATGAGTTATCGAAAACTACGAATAAGTTTTAACTGCAAACATTTTACTTTACAATCTGCTTCAAAAACGTGGTCTTAGCCCAAATTTCTTAAGAACCCACTGATTAGCTTTGCAGTGCCACTTGATGAGCTACACTATAAGACCGATAGTCAATCGATAATTGCTTTTTTTCGTACTTTCAAAACCCTTATCCTTAAATATTTTCTTTTCTAGAAACGCACACACACCTACTCACTCGCACATACAGACGCGTGTGCGCATAAACATACACGCACACTACATTTTTTTTAAGAAAAAATAAATTGAGTACTTAGGCTTTGAAACTATAGAGAAACGATTTATTCAACGATTGTCTGCTTTTACCTATACATACATACACACATACATTTGTACATACACACATGTATGCATTTATTTATATATTGTCATGGACGTGGTTTGCTTCAGTCAAGCCAGCGCCCGTGTGTTGGCACACCGGCGTACAACTGACGACACAATAGAGTGCATCTAAGAGTGCAATTAATACAGCCGCTTATGGTGGTGGTCGAGGCTGAGTGGTCACCGTAAAGTTTCACGAATCCTTGGTTGACGGGTTTGAGCCCCTGCTCTGCCTTTTTGGCGGAGCATTTTACTACAATATTTCGGACTCTTTAATCTATTTAATTAATAAATCGGAATTACCTGCTTCCCTTTTACACGAGAATCCTCAAAGCTTGTTGCGTAACGATTTATATATATATATATATAGCACCTTAAACCGCCGAACAAAATGATCCATAGCAACAAAATATTTATGGATTAAATGACTCTTTATATGAAATTTAAAGTCATAAAGCTGAAAGCAAGTGATTTATAAAAAAAAAAAATTTTAATTAATTGTTACATATAATGTGTTTTGAAAAAATANGGCTACTGTTTTTCCCTCTTGATACAGTTTTTTTACCTTTTGTAGCATTCTCACATACACACACGTTCGTGCACACTTTCACACACACAGAGAGAGAGAGAGAGAGAAAGTGCTTGGGTATCAAAGTAAAAATTATATTTCTATAAGACTATATGGCAGGTAATAAAATTACAAATACAAATACACCGTCGGTAAAACGATATTTTGTACGAAGTTTATGCAACTATCGTTAGAAAAAGTGTACCTACGGTAGTTGGGTGTGATTAAATAAATATTTAAATATTCAATAACAACAACTGTAAACATTATACAATTACTTTATATAATATAAACAATATAGAGGCTGGACAATACAAGGCTGTGCACTTTAATTGAATCTTCCAGTGATATTAAAACAACTGACTACTGCTTACGATGATTACATCTCTAACGTCCCGTCACATGTGTCACAAACGCTTACACACTGGTTAGTAGTCCATTTTAAAGGCCTTAATTAATTTTTGTATCTCAAAAATTAAGGCAAACCATGTTGTAGTACCACTTACTCAAAAAAGCATTATAGTATATGTCTGTTAACTTCTCTTTAGAAAGTTCATCACACATAGGTTATTTTTTGACTGACATGTTTCAAGCATTAAAAGTATACAAAAAATACCATAAGAAATATTTTTTTTTTAATTGCAGATAGTTCATATACGTTTTTTGACATGTTGAATTTTAAAAATTTGTAATTTAACATTTATTCTTATGGAGCAATCACTTGAAATTGCATTCCTGAGATCTGTGTATATCACCTAATTATTGATCATATGAAGCGTTGCTTCTACATAAACCTGTTTTATTTTTAAATAGATCTTAATTTTTCTTTGTTTTAATAACACAAAAAAGAGTTAAGTATGCGTGGCAGCGTGTATAAAAGTATATTCACATAAGCAAAAGAATTGCCATCGTTGCTGCATATATTTGTGATCCTCTTGTTTCTCTGAATTTTCTGCTACTAACAATGCGAAGATCATCCTTTCGTAAAAAAATCGCTTTAATCACAAGGAAAAAATTGTGAAAAAAAAACTGCAATGAAAATTGATTATTGTATTTATACAGTACAAACATAATTTTCTTTTTTAATGAGAAAATTTTGAAAAATTAGGAAAAAATTTTAAAAACAACTACATTGTTTTTTTTTAAGTAACAAACTAATGATAAGTGAGTAAATTTTTATGTATACATATGAAAGCTTCTCTGCTAATACACAATAATTTCCGAATTTTTCGCAAAATATGTACCAAAAAAATATATTTCAATAAATAAATAATTTATTTGTTTAATGTATAATATAACCGGATACATTAATACAGTAACTGAAAGTTAACATTAAACATAAGTGACAAACTGTAAGACAAGATAAATTAATTAAGACATAGCAAAGTGGGTGAAAGCATCGGCTAGCGTGCAAGAGATCTAAGGGGGTTAAAATCTGTTCGGAAACTTTTTTATTTATTTATTTTTTTTTATGTAAATTGGTTGAAAAAAAAATAAAAAAAATAAAAATGTGTGCTGTAGTCTGTTGTCAAGACGTTGTGTGGTATGGTGTACTCTGGTTGCGTTGTGTGGTGTGCAGGGGATAGAAATAACGTAAAGAAGGGTGGAGAATTAAGCAAAATCCTTTTCCATTACATTTTTTTACTCTGATTAACGTCACCGACCTGAAACCGTTGATCTACTTGTAGGACAGGGCGCGCCTGTAGAAATGAAACTTGAAACATTGTATTGGATGTATTTTTACCTCTTGTAGTACACACACTCACACACGTAATATTTCAGTAAACTTGAGCTAGTAATTCATCTTTTTATATTTATTGGGATTGATGAGGCTTTTCTAGTTGTATTTAAGAAGAAAAGTTAACCTTTTACAGAAATGAAGAACAAGTTTAAAAAAATTATGATGATACGACCGCAAATACTATTAAGACAATAAGTAAATCTAAGACAGTGACTTTGCAATATAGTTTAGAAGTTGATTCTGACCAAGGCTTAACATATTTATTTAAATAACTGTCCATTTTTACTAACTTGAACTCAAGTTGTATTTAAAAATTAAATGACTCCATTTTTCATTACAAACTGATTTTTTTTTTTTGATAATTCGTTTCCTAGTTTTTTTTTTCTTTTTTTTTCTTTTTAATCATAATATCAAATGTTAATTACTTGGGACTTGGATAACTCAATTACAATTTGCTTAGCATTATATTTTAAAACATTATTAAAATGTTTGTGATACAGCACTATTTGAAAATATTGAATTTGTTTTAGTAAATCTTTTTTGTATACTTCTATAGTGGTCCTATTTAGCTTTTACTTTTAAGCTATTTATTTTTAACTATTTCAAACAAAAACATTAGTTTATTTTAAATTCACTTTTTGTTAATACATAGATCTTAACATAAATGTATTAGGTAACTGAGGCAAATTCGCTGAAAATAGTTTTTAAAATATAGTATTTTGGCCCTGTAGGTTAGTTTTAACCACCCATCCTCTCTTTAAATAATAAGTTCTGTATAACTTTAAATACTAGTGTTTTGTTGCGGATTTATTTTTGGTCGTTGCTGAGGATATTTTAGTGAGCAATAAAAAGATATAAAAAATTTAAAAGTTTAACTTGATATAATATGTGTAAAGTAGCAGCAGACTCACATACGTGTTGGTTCTTTGCACTTTAAGACATATCTGATTCAAATAATGTTATCAGCAGACCATTATTTATCGTTCACCATGTGCAAACTTATAAAGGCAGTTATTATCAAAAATACTTATATTGTATCTATTTAAAAAATAATATTATAATAACATGATTGATAGTACACATCTTTTCTTCTAATTACTGCTTGTGTGAAGCATCTGAGATGGGTAAGGGTAGTATGGTTTATAATTTACACAAAAGTTAATGTAACTATTAGTATGTGAAAATATTTAATTCTTTCCAACAGACTATACATGTGTTAACTTTTTTTCAAACAAGCAAATCAATAAGGTTTACCATCCAAGGAAGATTGATTTTTTGAACACTTTAATGTTGGTTGTCGATCTACTTCTAGACTTAGAATGTGCAAAATGATGTCATTCTTAGTGGACATTATGGCCTCAACTGCTTCTTCGTGAGTAACATTTTCAAAATCTCTGTATCCCTGTAATAATAATATAAATGAATTAAGTTGGCGTATTCATGCTTAAAACGAATAAAACAAATTTATCATACAATTTAATAAAAAGGGATTTCCAAATTAACGTTCATAAAACAGAAGAAATAACCGTATCAAACAACTTTAAAATTGCATCATAATTAGAAAATGTCAGTGTTTCTTATTCTGATTGTAATTCTAATCTTAACATCACTAACAAAATCAACGATTCTGAAAAGAATCATTAGCTCATTTATGTGTAGTATCCTGATATTAGCTTAGCTAACACTGACGTTACAAATAGTTTGTAAGTTAATAAACAATCTATCATTAAAAAGTACCATTTTAATTAACTAAAATGTACAATGAAAAAAAAGTTTGGTTCATTCAAATAAAGTTTATTTGAATCAATTGAGTGATTCAGAAGTAAGCGCTTGAAAACATAATTTATTTAAGTTAAATAAATATAATTACTTGGATTTAACAAAACTGTATTTGG